AAGAGGTATTTGTCCTTTGGTTATACCTGCCTGCCCCCCCCCCCCCCCGCCCCCCTCAAAGCAATGTGTAATTTCTAGATTTAAAGCGTTCGTGACTGCAAGGATCCATACTCTTTGGTTCTATTCGGTAAAGTCACGTAGGTAAAAAAGAAAACAACAAAAATCACGACGTTTCGGCCACAACACAAGCGGCCTCCAGACAGTCTCGTCCCTTCACCTGATGAAGGCCGCTTGTCTTGTGGCCGAAACGTCGTGATTTTTGTTGTTTTCTTTTTTACCTACGTGACTTTACCGAATAGAACCAAAGAGTGTGTAATTTCTCCACCATTGGCTAACGAGCTGCTGTCAATGGGAGATGGGTACCGCCTCAATGCTCATTTTGTGCAGGAAATTATATTGACTCGGCCTTGCGTCGATCACCGCCTGTTGTCCCGTGGCTTTAGATGCAAGAGCATGTGGGTCGCCAACAGGCAGATCGCTGGGTCGCCAACAGGCGGATCACTGGGTCGCCAACAGGCGGATCACTGGGTCGCTAACAGGCGGATCACTGGGTCGTCAACAGGCGGAACACTGGGTCGCTAACAGGCGGAACACTGGGTCGCCAACAGGCGGATCACTGGGTCGCCAACAGGCGGATCACTGGGTCGCCAACAGGCAGATCACTGGGTCGCCAATAGGCAGAACACTGGGTCGCCAACAGGCAGAACACTAGGTCGCCAACAGGCGGACCACTGGGTCGCCAACAGGCAGATCGCTGGGTCGCCAACAGGCAGATCGCGGGGTCGCCAACAGCGGATCACTGGGTCGCCAACAGGCGGATCACTGGGTTGCCAACAGGCGGATCACTGGGTCGCCAACAGGCAGATCGCGGGGTCGCCAACAGCGGATCACTGGGTCGCCAACAGGCGGATCACTGGGTCGCCAACAGGCGGATCACTGGGTCGCCAACAGGCGGATCGCGGGGGTCGCCAACAGGCGGATCGCGGGGATCGCCAACAGGCGGATCACTGGGTCGCCAACAGGCAGATCACTGGGTCGCCAACAGGCAGATCACTGGGTCGCCAACAGGCAGATCACTGGGTCGCCAACAGGCAGAGCACTGGGTTGCCAACAGGCGGATCACTGGGTCGCCAACAGGCAGAGCACTGGGTTGCCAACAGGCGGATCACTGGGTCGCCAACAGGCAGATCACTGGGTCGCCAACAGGCAGATCACTGGGTCGCCAACAGGCAGAGCACTGGGTTGCCAACAGGCGGATCACGGGGGCGCCAACAGGCAGAGCACTGGGTTGCCAACAGGCGGATCACGGGGGCGCCAACAGGCAGAGCACTGGGTTGCCAACAGGCGGATCACTGGGTCGCCAACAGGCAGATCACTGGGTCGCCAACAGGCAGATCACTGGGTTGCCAACAGGCGGATCACTGGGTCGCCAACAGGCAGATCACTGGGTCGCCAACAGGCAGAGCACTGGGTTGCCAACAGGCGGATCACGGGGGCGCCAACAGGCGGATCACTGGGTCGCCAACAGGCAGATCACTGGGTCGCCAACAGGCAAAGCACTGGGTTGCCAACAGGCAGATCACTGGGTCGCCAACAGGCAGAGCACTGGGTTGCCAACAGGCGGATCACTGGGTCGCCAACAGGCAGATCACGGGGGCACCAACAGGCGGATCACTGGGTCGCCAACAGGCAGATCACTGGGTCGCCAACAGGCGGATCACTGGGTCGCCAACAGGCGGATCGCGAGGTCGAGAACCTGTGGCTCCGGAACAGCATCCACCTCCGGATTCATGTACAGTGTATTTTCACCCGCTGGTACCCCAGAGTTTGTGTCGATTCAAACAGACTCGGATGTGCGAATGCAGTAGCCTGTCGTCAAAAAGCAACGAAGGGGCAGCCCTGCCAAGCTTGAGAGATTTTATGGGACAGGGTGAATTCAGGTTGACCTTTGTCAATCCACGCACTGGATAAAGGCCTCTTTCCCTACTCCCTAGGATTCTTTGACCACACTCTCCAATGATGTTGGCTGTGGCCGGGAATCAAACTCAAGTAAACCAAAAATATTCTTACTACTAACAACATTATCTAACCCAAAATAAACTAATTATGAATCTAAGTATTGGTCGTCAAAGCCGATGTATTTATTTTCGCCAAATAACTGATAGTAGTATACACAGCGTTGCAATGGATTTAACCACCAATTTCCGATCGAATTTCACCAAGTGCAAAATCCGTTTCAACCATCGTGAAGCGGTGGATATTCTAGGAGGGGCCCTAAAAAAATCTGAGACCCGGAGATGTGGACAAGAGACCAAGATGGAGGTTTTTGTTTTTACAAATTTTTATTTTACCAGGTAAGGCCCACTGAGTTATATCGCTCTTTTTATATTCAGCGCCCGGGTCACAAATTATAGCGCAACGATGTGGCTCATTACGTGTAAATTCATAGCAGCCAAATACTCTAAACGCGTGACGTTGATTCTTAATGTGGAGGGAAAAATCGGAGGACCCGGAAAAAAATCCATGCGACCAAGGGTAGAGAGACACACACATTCCAAATATAGAGGCGTCACAGTTGGGATCGAACCTACGGCCTCCTGTATACCAGGCAAGGTAGTTAACATCTCCTAGCCACCGTGGCGCCCCATCCACCCAGTTCCTGCGTGTAAACTGATTTCGTCGCTCCATCTCCTCCCCGGCGCACGTCCTCTTTGATGCAGCTTGCTAGCCACTGCACCAGCACTCCTCCTATATCTTACACGTGCGGCAAAGGAAAAGTGGTTTGCATATACGCAAACATGCTGCTCGTTTTTTTAAAATATAAAAATCACAGTTGCTGAGCACAGGGCCCCAAAGGCCTAAATTTCCAAACAGCCAGCAACAAACAGCACTATTGAAGGTGTAATGACAACAACGAATGCGTTGCTTGAATTAAGCAAGGTTATACAATCCTGAAGAAAATATTATGTATTTGGGAATCAAATTCAGGCTGCCGGATAAATAAAAACAAGAAAAACACCAACAACTCGTATGTGGGTTTAAGCACGGAAACCCAATTTTCAGGCGATTGCCATTGTCCAGTGGCTTTTGTTCCAGAGACAAACACAATGACCGTCCGCCTCGTGTCCCAGAGATTCAAATTAAAGACGTCCATTTCGCCATCTACAGTATTAGACTAAACACCGCATTCGAGACCCAAATATCGCACACATCCTGGCTTTGACGTTCCTCTAACACGATGGAGAAGCCATCGACCGCATGAGAACACCAACAGGCCGAAGCTGCACTACATCTCCTCCTTCATTATAAACGGAAAACCAAAAGGCAATCCACAGTGGTGCGATTGTGAGCATGCAACCCACACAGTGGACCACAGAGTAAACCCACAGTCGCTTGTGCTCCTTCAACGGAGGAATCGCAAGACGATGCAAACTCTCTCCTGAAGCCCTCTCGTTGCAAGCAGACCGACACTTAACTTCTGAACACGTCGCCGCCGTCGTATGCAAGAGCAGAATATAGGAGCAGATCGCGCAAACGGCACCCGCATTACTGCACTCGCTAAAAAATGCACATCTGGGTGTGCGTGTGCTTGTGCATGTGTCCGCGCTGTGAAAGATAACGGGCTTATTTTATACCCCGTTTGGGCACAGATTCATCAATTGCCACGCAGGCTCTCTTAGCGAGGGCCTATTTGACGCCTTAAAAATACACACACACACAAGAAAAATCTTAAGTCTCGGTGGTAAGAACATATTGACCTCCAAAAGTACGCAGACATCTATCAACGGAGTTTCTGTGGGCGCAGCGGCCGTATACAGCAGCAGCAGCGGCAAGCCGGCGGCGTTGTCTAAATATGTTTATTAATTCTTATTCGTAACTTTGAACACAGAGGCACCGCGGGCACAGCTGCGCTGTGCGCCGCAGTTAATGGCTTTAGAATGAACTGGGTACAAATATATGCCGGCGAATATGTAAGGCTCCATTTCACGCAAACGTAAAAACAAGATATAGCGATAAGCCAAATGCGTTGTACGTATATTGCGAATGAAGGGCAGTCAATCATCGGGACTTTGCGAGGAGATGCCAAGAATGGTGGCGATGAGAACAAAAATCGCCGACCGGAGTTATAGTTGGTCTTCTTACGTCGCGAAACAAACACTACACGAGTCATAAAGATTTACCCGTGAAATTATATTGCGCATCATTGATGTGAGAGCTGTCTCATTTACAGCTGTAGCAATTGTATATTGTTCAACTGCGTGGAAACCAAAGTCATCGGCTTATATGAGATCGCCGGACCCTCAAATTTCTTGACGTGGATTGCACGCAGCAACCGAACATGGCAGACTCATGCCCGATTGCAGGCCAGGTACTGAGTCGCCTTGTGGCAGACAGGAACAGCTGCCACTCGGGGTGCCCTTTCGAATCTGTTGTTCAGATAATGAAATATGATGCAAAGTGGTGTGAGACTTCCCGGCTTATAGGGTGCTGTATCAAAATTAAGTCATGATTTTTATTTTTTATTATCCCTTGAACGCATCCCAACAATACGAATCTATGATCTGTGAGCGTAGAAATTTGCATTGTGAGTTTGAGTATCTTATCACAGTGGTGGAATGGTCAGCGGCACAGGACGTCCACAATCCAGAGTTCGCCAGGTCAGGTTCGTTTTCTTGGCGTGGGCATTGAACCAGTGGGGGCAAAGGTTTGATAATTTTATTTATTTATTTATTTAGATTTAGGCTGTACTCAAGAACGCAGGCCCATCGCTGCGGAACGTTGGGCCACAAAAAAAAGCAACCCGCACGTGAATATCCACCAGGCCCCATGTTCCCGACACGTCCTGGTTGATGAGGGGTGGCGAGGGGGACAGATAACCCAGGGAAGAGAGGGGGGTGGAATCTATTGTCTCATTTAATGGGAAAATCTCGCCGGTAGAACATTCGTTTTTTTTTAACATAGGGGAAGGGGATGGGGGAGTGGCAGGTTTCTCAACTTACGTCCGCTTCTGTCCACCCAGCAGCATAAATGGCTTCACCACAGCGAGTCGATTGGCAGGTGTGGTGGTGTGAAGCGAGCCGCACCTCCGATTAACGACGGTTGGCTACGTACGGTGCGAAAGAAGTGCAACATACATACATACGTACAAGTAAAATATGGATACTTTCACCTCTTTCAAGACATCTGGCTAACGTGGAAGAGTAGGCCAAAATGCCCCTGGACGGGCCCTCTTGAGCTCTCTCGAGTGAAGGCCCTTCTGCCAGCAGTGGTGTGAACAGTTGCGGTGTTGTGCCTCTAACAAGTTTACCTGTTAGACATAAATAACATTTGTTACGATCGTTTGATTTCTTTCACCACGTACAACCCTTTGGCAAGCGGCTTCTGGATGAAGGCCTCGGCCATGCTGAGTTGGTCATGAGAGTTGTTTGGACATCATGATCTTGACACTAACGACATTTTATCTAGTGCCATGACGTGGAAAGCCATTACAAAGGGCGCTGACCACACCTCAACCACACTGGTCAGCACGGGTTCGTGAAGTGGCAACACTCTTTCAGATATCGCTCGCACACTCATAATGGCCGTGGCCTGAAATCAAACTTTTGGTCAACCAGATTCACAGTGCATATCGCATCACCGCTCAAAGGCGAGGATGATGTTGACGCGACTAATGTCCAATTTCCAAAACTTTGATCAACCACGCTCAATCAACCACTGGGATGGAGGCATCCCCAAAGCCATCAGCATCTCTCACGATCCTCTGTTGGAAAAATCGATCTCGCACCCGTGCACGAATCGATTTCATCGCTCCATCTCGTTGGTCAACATCCACTCGGATTGCCGGTCGAGGTCATAACCTCCTGGCTTGCCAGGGTGCGTGCGGCAGTACAGCAAGTGGATTAGATCCCATCTATATCTTATCTGTAAGGGGACCGAGTGTCATCCCACACTCCCACGTGGGTTTTCTCCAGATACTTCGGTTTTCTCCCACATGTGTAATTTCAAATTCAATTGGCCAAACATCTCAATGTAGGGCCGCAGAGCCTGGCCTTGTCTGTGACTTTCCTGGGCTCCTGAATCGAAGTGAACAAACACTGTGCATGTTACAAAATCTAAATTATTATTATTCCACTCCTTCGCTACCATTCAATATTATTTACCATCGGCCATCACCCCTCCCTCCGAGCGACAGCTCTCCTGCTCAAACTCACTTATTTTTGTTCCTTAGTTTGAATTACGTCCTTTAACCCACACATGCTCTCTCTCTCTCGTCCACGTGTCGCCCCTCCGCACATATAGAGCACATTGTACGAACATGAGACGAAGCGTCATACACGGGTCGAGCAAGTGAGAGAGCGTACGCGGGGAAAAATTCGCTCCGGAGAGTGAGGTGAGGAGAGTGGAGGAGAGTGGAGGAGGGTGGAGGAACGGGGGGGGGGGGGGGGGGCGGGAGGTTGGACATGGGTTGTGGAGGCAGGGAGAGAGTGTAAGTATTTTTTAAAGCGCACAATGCCAACTATTTACAAGCGAAAACCCAGGGCTCGGGGCAAAGCGGCACATGAAAACTGGAAATGGGCCATCAACGCTTCCAGGTGTTTTGTGGTCGCGTTGCTTCATTTGGAGTATTTTTTTTGGCTTTTTTTCCATCTTACAACCCATTGCGCCCCCCCCCGCCTCCACCTCCCACTCCATCCGCTGCCACCCCCGCCATCCACACCCCCCCCCCCCCACCTTTAAAAGGGTCAGCTCACCGCTCACCGCCCCCGCAGCCTCGCGTGAAATAGCGGAGGAGCCTGAGGTGGAGGTGGGGGTACATGTTGCACGAAGTCTCGTGCCATCTTTGTGTTGCCAGTTCCACGGCCCACGGTTTAATCAACCGCCGGACTCCGCAGAGGAACGAGGGCAACAACAACGGCTCCAGTGTTTGCCTCAACCCACAGGATATTTCTGTTGGCTCAGCAGGAAAGTGATATTTTTTTTCGTCTGCTCTCTCTCCCCCCTCTCTCTCTCCTCTCTTTGCCCCCCCCTCTCTATTTTTTACGGTGTCTTTCTTGTGTTTTTTTTTCTTCTTAAAAGAAACCCGCTGCCATAAACCTGGAGCGAGCGTCTGGGGCACAACGGATGGGAGGAGGTGGAATTTGCTTGTTTTGACAGAGGCCCGCAGGTCGTGATGGATGTGAAACCAACACAATTATGAGAGTGAAAGGCTTTGCGCACACAAGTACAGCGCCAAAATACGAATAAAAAAAAGCGAAGTAAATCCGCAGTAGAAATATATATAAAAAAAATTATAAGGATATTTTTTTGGGGTTTTTGGGATTTTTTAATTATAGTCATTACTACACTTAAACATTTTCAGAAAAGTCCTTCAGGAGTTTATCCACACAAAAAGACCATTATTATTTTTTAAATTATTAACACTATGGCAGTAACTGCATGTGGCATATCTGAGCCCTTGGTAGTTGATATTTGAGTCAAAGGAAATGTTAATGGCTACATTTAACAGTATTCAAAGTATCGAGTGTATTTACATGCGTCTCGTATGCGCACGTACTTCATAGACAACCGAATATTAAAAAGTGTTTTTTTTTGGAGGGGCGGGCGAGCGGGCGGGCGGAGGGCACAGAGGTAACAAGGATAAAAAAAACATTAGAAGTTTTAGTTGGGGCGGAGAGTGCACGAGGCTCCCGTGCGCTCCGCTCCGCTCGCTGTGGCTGCAACCCATCGGCTCTGATTCTTAGGCAGCGTCGGCGAGCGAGGACTGAGCGGGCCGTGACCTTGATGTTGACTTTTGACCTCGGAAAACTTTAAATCGTTCGTGAGGAAACCCGGGACCCTCCCAAGTGTGGAAGGGGGAGTCGCACGACCCCGGTCCTTTTTGAGTGGGTTCTTACGAAGGGGGGGGGGGGTGGGGGCAGCGAGGGGGAAGGACAAACACAAATGCATGAGAGGGATTTGGGCGGGAGGTGGCGTCGCCCGTGTGTTTCTCTTGGGCTTGCGCGCACTGACCCGTGAATCACTTGTGGAAACAAAGGCTCTGCTTTATGAACCTCGGGGCTGCCGTCCACTCCAGAGCAGGAGCCGCAGCAGCAGTAGCAGCTGCAGTAGCAGCAGCAGCTTGGGTTTTTACAGACGATGGACACTAGAGGTCATCATTGCCACTCGTGCCCAAGCAAGAAGTCGTTAATCCGCTACCACAATGTTCTCGGAAGAGATTTTTTTTTGCAACGTTGGTGTTGAACGCTTCTTTACAACGAGCGGTGGGCGCAGTAATTAGCGCACTGCGCCGTGAAGCAAGGCCACCTGAGTTCGATTCCAGCCGGCCTGGGTTCCACCGGACTGCCTCGCTGACACGCACCGATGACCAGCATAGTGAAGTGGGGTCAAACAATCAATGTGTGGTAATCGCGGTTGTTGGAATCGTGTATTAATTCTATGCAGGGTATTAAATTAATGTATGGTGTGGAGCAGTGTGGGTAACAACACTGTACTATGACCCTGACTGGACAAAGTTCGGTTTTTGGTCACGGCTAACATCAGTTGTGAATGATGTTCGAAACAGTCCGGGTTCGAACACCCATTCGGTCAAACAACTACCATAACTGACATGGCATGGGAAGGCTTTCATCAGACAGTGGATTTACAAAGGACTGTAAATAGTTTATTTTTGAACGATTTATAAACACACAAAACAAAAAATATCCCTCATTGAGTCTTCAACAAGGCTGTTGGGACGAATGTTATTAACGAGCACCTATTGAGGCTGGCACGGCACGGCACACGAGGTGGGTGGGTGGCCAGCACTATGCCTAGCCGCCTTTGTCTCTCCAGTGCTGATGTTGATAAATGGACGTCGATTTTCGTGGGATCCACTGTTCAGTCCTCCTTTTAAAATGGCATCCGCCTGCTCGTGCCACCTGCTGAAGGCAGGCAACCCCACACAAGCCACGCCCTGGGCGACTCGACTGATTATGCCAATGACGTCAACAAGCCCCGCCCATCACCAGCCGCACACGTGGGAAAACAGAGGGTGGGACTTATTTGATTTCGTTCCCCAACTATTTTCGCGCTATCCGATGGATCGAGCATTCGCTTATCGGTACATTAAACAACTTAAATAATCGTAAATGATACATAACTGTTAATTATTATTTCGATGATTTTAATAACATTTTTAAATAACTAATATATTTAAATAATCTAGTAGTTATTATTTTGGAATGCATCAAAGAGAACGCCCGCTAGAGGGGAGATGGAGTGACAAAATCGGTTTACGCGCAGGTACTGGTTGGATGGGGCGCCACGGTGGTGAGATGTTAACTACCTCGCCTGGTATACAGGAGGTCGTGGGTTCGACCCCGACCTTGATGCCTGCTGTACATTTGGAGTTTGCGGTGTCTCTCTCTCCGTGGTGAGATGTTAACTACCTCGCGGTGTCTCTCTCTCCGTGGTGAGATGTTAACTACCTCGCCTGGTATGCAGGAGGGCGTGGGTTCGATCCCGACCCTGACGCCTGCTGTATATGTGGAGTTTGCGTGTCTCTCTTTGTGGTGAGATGTCAACTACCTCGCCTGGTATGCAGGAGGTCGTGGGTTCGATCCCGACCCTGACGCCTGCTGTATATGTGGAGTTTGCGTGTCTCTCTTTGTGGTGAGATGTCAACTACCTCGCCTGGTATGCAGGAGGTCGTGGGTTCGATCCCGACCTTGATGCCTGCTGTACATTTGGAGTTTGCGGTGTCTCTCTCTCCGTGGTGAGATGTTAACTACCTCGCCTGGTATACAGGAGGTCGTGGGTTCGATCCCGACCTTGATGCCTGATGTACATTTGCAGTTTGCGTGTTTTTCCCGTGGGCGGGTGGATTTTTCTCCGGTTCCTCCGGTTTTCCCTTTAACATTTAAAAACTACTGTGTGTTTAGAGTACTTTGCTGCTATACATTTGCGGCCAGGTCGCTTCTGAAAAAGGGATATACAGCTCAGTGGCCTTTACCTGGCAAAAGTAAATCAATAAATGCGTCATCGCAGAATCGTGGTGAGAGGTGGCAACGGCTTGGGGGAGGCCTTCATCCAGCAGTGGAATGGGCCATGGCCGAGCCACCGCCGCCGACGACGATTTCAATGCAAATCAAATGTCGAGGGGTCCACACAAACGACACGTGTCCACACAATACCTCTTCATTGTCGGCGACTGCACTGGCGGGGGTAGTGAGTAGGGGGGCGGGGGGGGGGGGCTGGGAGAGGGCGGGGGGGTAAGCGGCGAAGTCGGCAGCAATCGGGATTGTTTGGGATTGTTCCGCGACCTGCCTCTGACTCGCGGGAACACATTGACGCCGCTTCGCGAACAAAGGCGGACGGAGCGCTCGGCTCTGGCAAAGCGCACTGCGGCGGAGTGGCGAGCACGCATCCACACACGCACACACCACACGCACGCACACCACACGCACACACACCACGCACACACACCACACACGCACACACCACACGTACACACACACCACACGCGCGCACACACCACACGCACACACACCACACGCACACACACCACACACGCACACACACACCACACACACACCACACACACGCACAAACACCACAAACACCACACACACCACACACACACCACACACGCACAAACCACACCCCACCATACACACACCACACACCACACGTACACACCACACGCACACACCACACGCACACACCACACGCACACACCACACGCACACACCACACACACCACACACGCGCGCGCTATTATTATAATTATTTTTAAATGTCCTTTGCTTGCCATAGCAAATTTTAGAAATACATTCAATTTGTGCCAATGCGACCTTACGTATCCCCCCCCCCCCGTTTTGTTTTGCTTCAATCATCGGCGTGTTGCGGTGGGGGGGGGAGGCATAAATGGGAGTAAGAAACGGCACCCCGCTCGATGACCTCAGCGGGATTGTGTTTCAAGCCAGTCCAGTTGACGCGACCTTGCGTCTTACAACTTCCTAGCTCTGTGGAGTAGTTTCCTCTCCCCTAACAATGAGCTGACATCAGGCTAAGTTTTCCTATTGCGCGGCGACGCGAGCCGGGGTCGAGCCACCGTCTCTCTATTCCAGGATGTGCCCAATGTGTTGCGTTCTTCCTGTCTCCCCATTAAGGGCGACTCTGTGGACAACGCGTGGTGTATTATTTTCACTTGCGCTTCCTTCTCTCTCGCTTCGGGATGCTTCTGCTGCTGCTGCTACTACTGCCGCCACCGCGATGTATTGGTCGGCGGCGCACGGAGGGATGGGGATGGGGTGGCTTGCGGTCCAGGGGTTGCCGGTTGGACAAAATCTCCCGGCGTGGCGGTTGCAACGATGGTGATGAAGTTTATTAAATCGCCCTCCTTCCTTGCCGACCGCCCGTCCGCATCCCTCTGTCTACCCGGCGATATAAGTCGGCACACCACAGTTAAGACAATCTCCGGGTCGTGGTGTGGGTGGGGTAAAGTGTGGGTACTCCTACCTCTTCCAAGACGCCTGGGCCAGTGTGGAGGAGTAGGACAAACAATCGCTTCTAATGCGATCTCTGCAGAGCTCGCATTAGTTGGGGTCCTTCCGCCAGCAGGGCTGTGAGTAACAAGTTGCAGGGCTGCATCCTTTAACCTTTGATCGGCCTTCTTCTGAATGCTTCGTTAATAATTTGAAGTGTGCGGAACTTCGTTGCAAGAATTCGAAATGCACCAACCGCTCACTTTTATGGGCATGCAGACTATAGCAAAATGTGTCAAAGTGCCTCTCAAAATAACAACATTGAAAGAAAAAAAAACATCCTGAGAGTAAAAATATCAACGTGTATTTTAAAGTCATACATGAGCACGTCATTGCAATTCTCATATTTTGACAAAAAAAACGTAAAGAAACAAATACATAGATAATAGGTTTTTCCCCTTTTTTCTAGCAACAAAACAGGTGCTAAGATGATAAAACACCAAACTGAAACCTTTGACGAGGAATCATGTCTGCATTAACCACAATACTTGTGATCAGAATGCAAAAAAAACCCCATACTCTGATAATATATGCATTGTCCTTGAAGCTGATTGGTCCACACCAGACAGCTTTCTTTGTCTCAGACAGTGTTAGACCAGAGGACGCCGCTTTGGCAGGAGTGCATCGACCACACCGTGGGCCCTAGAAATAAAATTTAGATAATCGGCGAGGTTTTGGGCCCTGCTTCAGATCACATGAAAATGGTTATACGTGGCCATGGAGTATGGCGATCGCCTGAAACATCACCTATCGTATATTTTTTTCAAGTTTAAGGCAGCAGTATTATTTACGAATGTTTTGAGGTTTCATTTCAACAACAAATAAGACTTTCTGCCGTGTTCGAAGACGGTTTACAAGTACACTGCGTTACCCAAAATTGGCATTACAACAGAGAAGCATTGTTCACCGTTGGACAAACACAAATGTCCGAATAACAGCGGGGAGAAATTCGACAGCTCTTGAACCCAAAAGCCTGCTTTGAGACGCACGGATAAATAGTGCAGGACAGACATCCCAGTAGCTCAGGGCTTCCTTGGCTTTCGCAAGATTTCGCAAGACTCATGGGTGGGCGCGCAGCATATAAATTGCCAATTATCATCCAGTGCCCTCTGAGACAGGGCGAACTGAAGCACACGCGCACAGGGGGCCCCATTGTGTGCCAAGGTGTCCTGCTACGATCTTGAATAAAGTCACACCGGCAGAAAGTTGCACGGCGCAGTAACCGGAGGGCAGAGGAAAGTCACCGTCTGGACGTACCTGGCGGGGCCGAGCTCTGAGGTGGGTTTTCGGTGGTTGTGCCGTGGATCGTTTGGCGCGACGTCCGCTGCTTCGCTCCACGAGCCGAGCGCTTTTTTCAGGACCCGGACGCAGTGGGTGTCCCAGAAGTTCCCCATCTTCGTGCTGAACACCACGCGGGCACGATCCCCACCCCCCATCCCCCCCGAAATCGCATCAGAGCGCTTACACAGCAGAACGGCGAGAACTTACACAGGTAGATGCAGACATGAGCAGAACATTATTCTCATCCCAAATATATATGCATGTGTAAAACAACTAATGCCGTTTGATTAATCTGGGAGAGTCTCAATGAGTCTCGAGACTTCCATCACATGGAAACATCATCGGACGTCAGGCCAAACTAACGGCATACGATCGGAAAGCACATCGGAGAGCGATGCAGCACAACCGTAAAAACATACGCTCTCGCTGTCCCATAGCGAGGCGTTAAAATGTGGCCGCCTTCGGTGGTCATGTGGATCATAGATCAGTGAACTCAGCTAGCACGGCTGAGAACCTGGGTTTGAATCCAGGTTCCTGTAGCCCTTGATCGAACCGGATTCTTAAGCAGAGCGAGTTAAGACAGTCACTAAAGACAAAGGCCTTCCCATACATTGTCGGCAATGGGGGGTTGTTTGACCATGATCATGGCCAGTGCAGGTGGGTGAAGGAGGGCACCCAGGACTGGATTTGTGTGTCCTCCTAAGCCGTGGCTGGGAATCGAACTAAGGTCAGGAGGTTCATGGCATAGTGCACGAACTAAGGCGATAGCACCGCAGCCTAACTTATCATTTAAGTTTGGCTAAACGTAAGCTTTGAGAATGAAAACGATAAGTTTGACTGTCAAGCGATGAACAATGCTCTATACAGGGCGCTGTCTCGATGGGGCGATGGTTCGCTTGAAGGAATCTCAGAAGTAGTTCTTGGATATCTACTTTCACGAACTGTTCTCTAATACAGAGTAATGCAGCACACTGGGAGAGTTATAATGGATATTCCATCCCATGACATGACAACAAGGCTTAATATTTTCAGCCGGGGCCGGTCTTTCTGGGTCATAAATCCAGAAAAATATTTCCACACCCAGCATGTCGCATCTTTTATATCTCTCCCTATGGCTGTGGCTACTGGTCAGTTGCTAGTCCCAGCCTACCAGTTGACCTGTAAAATATTCAGTGAGAAATTAAGCCCTGCATGAGTCTAATAGCACGACTGGAATAACACAGGAACAAAAAAAATGCATCACCAAAGCCACCTTTAACGGCAACACAGTGAACTCCTGCTTAAGATTAAGGCCTTTGTCATCTTGCATATGCATGTTACACTGTACACATTGCACATATCTACTGGGGTCATGGCTTTCCTCCAGTTCACCCACATCACCCACTTTCGGGAAACTGGATACCAGATGCCACTTTGCATCGAGCTCAGCACCGCAGCACCACAGCGGCGGAGCAAGAAGCCGAGGCTCAAAATTAGAGGTGAAAGGCACCGTCTGGAAGAATGCACAATTCTCAAAAGGACCCCGTTTTGTGTGTGTGTTAAAAAAAGCCATCGTAAGTTCACGCATTTCGTATCTCAGCTCAATTTTTGTGGCATTCGCTCCGTCCCTCGACCGTTTATATTTTCGCGACGCGCCCCTTGGCCACCCTCCCCGTCGCCTCAAGCGCACCGCGTGCAAAGTTTGCTCCGACGTTGAGCCGACGTCGCGATCTGGCGCCGCCGAGACGATGAGCAGCCGAGGCCGCGCGTGGCTTCCTCGCTCGCTCGGTTCGTGGGGGGGGGGATCCAGGCGACAACCCGGACCCCACCACAAAAAAATCGGTTGGCGAGCAAGGCAGCGGGGCGGCGGTAAGCAGATTCATTCTCCCGCTCTGTGCATCGCTCCGCGGAGCTGCGGGGCTGAGAGACACTTTGCCAAACTAATGGCAGGCACCGTGATATTCCGAGCGAGAGCTGAGGCGCAGGGAGGGGGGGGGGGGGTTGGTCCGTGATAAGAGCCCGTGGGTGGTGGTGCTTGGCATGAACGTGAGCTCGAATTAAAATTTTACCAAACGCCAAATAGCGGATTAATCTCTCTCCTATTGCCTAACTCCTGTATACCTGGAGAGGAAGTTAACATCTCGCCACCGCGGTCGTGGCTTCGTTCCAGAGCTGTATATTTGGAGTTGTTTGTATGTTTGTATGTTCTCCCCCGTGGTCGCGTGGATTTTTCTCCGCGTCCTCTGGTTGTCCCCCCACATTTAGAATCAAGCGCTCGGAATATTTGGCTGCCCTAAATTTCCACGTGATCGGCCACTTGGTTGAGCTATCGTTTGCGGCCCGGGCGCCAGACAAACAAGAGCTACATAGCTGAGTTGGGACTTACCTGGTAAAATAAAAGAAAACATTGTAAAAAAAAACTCCATCTTGGTCTCTTGTCCACATCTCCGTCGATTCACTCCCAAGCCCGGGTCTCAGATTTTTCTTAGGGCTCCTCCTAGAATATCCACCACTTCACGATGGTTGAAACGGATTTTGCACTTGGTAAAATCTGATCGGAAATTGGTGGTTAAAGCCATTGCATCGCTGTGTTTACTACTATCAGTTATGTGGCGAAAATAAATACATCGGCTTTGACGACCAATATTTCGATTCATAATTAATTTATTTAGGGTTAGATAATGCTCGTATGATGCCAATTTGTTTACAATCACCTTCCACCGCCATCCGGCAGAGCCAATCAAATCAAGTTGTCACGTGGGCAAATATGCCAATTGGATTTCATGTTTTTCAGCAAAACCGGAGGAGCAAGGTTGGCAATTTTATAGGAACTGCGTTTCGCCGGAGATCGCCAGCCGGCAATATCCCGCGATAACGAAGCCCGGCTCTCGCATGTCTCAGCCGTGTTCATTTTGCGCTGCCGCTTTTGCCCTTGTTTGTACATCGCATACAAAGAAACACCACCACCACGACGAATCGGCCCCGAGAACTTCAATAACTGACGAAAAATAACAATGCAGAGTCCGGCGTTGGGCACGCGTTGTGGCAAAACGATAAAGCGAAGGAACTGAAGAGACAGAGAGGGCCCCCCCTCCCCAAACACGAAAACAGTCCCCCCCCCTAACAAACCCGATCCAGTCCTGACCCACTCTGCATCACCGATGGAAACCACGCACGGGTGGCACACACACACACACACACCCTCCCCGTGCCCACCGACAGCCCATTACACTCGCCCGTTGTGCCCACTTTAACGCTAGGGCCACGCGGTCTCACTAAATCCCAAACGCACATCTGTTAATGATTTTTTTTAATTGGAAACTTTCCCCACTCCTCCGCCAGCCCCCCAAACCCCCACCGTCGATTTGCCCCCCCCCCTCCCCATCCCCTTGCAATGAATGCTACAAAAATAAATAAAAAGTAAGTGACTTATGAGGAGCGTAAAAAAATAAAACAAAAATAACAACAACATCCCCAACCATCCAGTCTTCCGAGAAATTTGTCGCGCTCTCTTCAAAGCCAAATTGTCCGGCTAATGGTCGCCTTTTCTCCTTGGCCGTCGGCCAATTGGTGTTCGATCATTTTGTTGTTGTTGTCCTCCTCCTCGTTAAGGTTACCCACATGGCCCTTTGATTTGGGGCCAGGTTTTTTTTTTGTTGGGGAGGGGGCCCATCCCTTTAGCCTCAGGGCACGGGACACACTGGGCACCCCTGTGCTCAATGAGTTTCTGAATCAGAAAAATATTACAGGAGGGGGGGGGGGCTTGTCCACTTCCCCTCCCCCCCCTTCCTCCTCGGGCTGAGTGGTCCATTTTTTTTAAAGATTATTATTACTACAACCATTTAAAATAAACCATTGACTAGCCCACCTGGCCCCCACCCACTGACCCCTCCACCCCCCACAGCACACACCACTCACTCACTCACGCTTTAAGTTACAGCAGTCACTGCCCGTTCGCTTTTTAGTTTGGCGGAACAATGTTTAACTATGAATTTTAATGTGTTGCACTCCGCAAAATTTTGGCGTTCTGTTTTCGTAAGCACGTACGTTGAACTTCTTTCACATCGCATGTAGCGAGCCGTGCTAATCGGAGGAATGAGTATTCAGTCTAGATTTAAAAGTGCATGTGCAGTGTCAACGATTCAGAGACAGAGATTGTAGGAGGCACCTTCTTTATTAACAACTTTCACGGACTCGTCCACACACTCTCCACTGTGGCTCAGCCTAGCCTGTACACAACACTAGCCCGTCTAACGCTGACGGCGCTGACCGAGAGAGCCAACTACTCTCCTTCGTAGCTCAATGTCTAGCGGAGACGTTTAGCGACGGCGGAGACGACGAGACGAGTCCACTTCCAGAACCAGGAGCCTCGAGCCCCCCGCTCTCGCCTCCATTTATCCTACCAGCGCGGCCTGGCTCTGCCCTGACCGCGCCTCCCTTCTCGAACCCACCAGCAGGTACCAGGGGCCTCCAAACGGAGTCCTCCCTGACCCTTGCCCCAGTTCCTCCTCTCTGCCAACACCCCGTGCACACCCTCACCGGCGTGTGTACTGTCTGTCCACAACAGTTGCCGCTGCTGTCCACCAGCCGGCGCTATTACACTACACATAGCTCCAGGAGCTTCCTTATATCGGAAGGAAGAGCATTTCAGATGGCCGCAGAAGCGCATCTGAAACCGCGTGATGCGGTGATGCAGTGGCCGTCTTTGTTCGATGGTTAGCCAAATGTTGTTGTTGCGAAGATGACCAAAGTTTGCGTCGTGGTTTATTATCCATACTTCGATAGACGGATGGTGGATAAAAACCTTTGCTTTTTATGATCGTGAATTGTTCTACATTTGAATCGTCTAGCACTCTTGAAACGTTTCTGGTTTCATGTGATGCACTGCAGAACATGTAAGGGTTATTATTATTATCATCATAATTATTTTAAGCGTGTTTTTAGATTTGTTGCACTCGATAAGCTTTTGCTTTTGTGATGTTTCACTTTACACGGTGACCTGGTAGCTCAATGAGATGTTTTTGCTGGAGTGATGCACAAATATTGTGCTTACATTGGTTGCACTCGGGAACCTGTTGCCTGTTTATGATGTTTAACTCTGAATGAGTTTTA